CCCAGCAGAACCGCCTCTCAGCGGGTGACAGGCCTTTCTCCTGGAAGCAGCTGCCTAGATGCAAATGGGGAGAAGCTCAGCGCTGAATGGTTGGGTCCACCAGGGTGCCTTTCATTCTCAATACTTTTATTGGCAGATCATTCACATATCATACAATTCGGTTCAGCCATATTTAGAAGAGCCGTGCAATCATCACAATCTGGGTCAGAACATTTTCTTCTTGTGCTCTTTGTTGTTCCCGCTGCATTTACCCTGAGCTCCTCTGCCAGGCCCCTAGGCAATGGCTGACCCAGTGACTCTCTGCAGATCTGCCTGTCCTGGGTTTCACATGCAGGAAAAGTACAAAACAAAAACAGATCCAATAAAGAAAAATCTCAATAGAAGAGAAATCAGAAAAAAGCAAACACTGCAGCAAATTAAAAACGGATCAAAAGGGAGATCAAAGGCGTTGCATTTGAACCTGTCACGGTTCCCTTGACCGTGCTCTGCCTGGGAGGTAGCAAGGCTGGGCACCTCCCTGGATGCGGCGGTCACACAGGGTGCACCAGAGCTTTCTTCCAAGTGGGGACCCTGAAAATGGATTCTCGCCTCCACAGAGAAATTGAGCAGAAAGTAAAGTTTGTGCCTAACACACACACACACACACACACACACACACACACACACACACACACACACACACTTTTCCCTGCATTCATGTGGCACATTTTGGTCAATTGATGATTTTACTATTAATGAAATATGGATGCATTGCTGTTATCTGAAGTCCACAATTGACACCTGGGCTCAAGTCCTCTGGGTTTTGACAAGTTCACATGTCACGGTTCTAGCGTGGCAGTGTTATGCAGAACAGTTCCACTGCCCTAACAATACCCTGAGGTTCTCTACCCAACACATCCCTGATTGGAGGCTCCCGCTTTCAGTTTTGTTTCTCTGGACTGTGGTGTAGTTGGAGTCCATGTAACTGCAGGCTTTCCAGATTAGCTGCCGGACTTAAAAATATGAATGTAAGGTGCTTCCATTCCTTTTCCTAGTGTGTTGGTCGTCCTGTTTCCTTGCTGAATAATATTCCATTGCATGTATACCCTGCAGTCGGTTTACCTCCTGAAGGGCTCCCTGTTTGCTTTCAGTTTGGGCAATAGAAATAAAACTGGACCGACCTTTGTGTGCTTTTGTATGGACATGGCAAGCCGTGCATGCTTACATTATGAAACAGCTACGCAACTGCCATCTGAAGGGGCACTATCATTGTGCGTTTCCGCATGGAGTGAGGGTGCTCAGCATTTGGTGGGATCCGTGCTTTGGATTTTAGCCACTTGGATTGGTGAGTGGAGTCTCTGGGAGGTGCCAATGGCTCAGTACTGGGCTGATAGCTGAGAAGTGGTGACTGGAACTCGCCAAGGGGTGCCTCTGCTTCCAAGAGGCCTTGCAACCCCCACGGAGCAGTCCTCCTCTGCACACACAAAGTCCCCAGGTGTCTGATTCGACATGATGGCAATGAAGACAGGTCAGTGTGCATTGGTATCTCGTTGTTTAAATTTGTAATTCCCTACTGTCTGATCATACAGAGTATCTTCTCACATGCTCATTTACGATTTGCAAATTTTCTTTGATGAGGTGTCTCTGTTATTTTCTTGCACCTGACTGAGCCATGGTATTTTTTTTTTTTTTGCCATGGTATTTTTATTTGCCTCCTACGCATCTGAAAGTTGGAAATTGAATCAGGAAGACTGCAGAAGGACAGATGCATTTGAATTGTGCTGGAGAAGAATACTGAAAGTACCCTGGACTGCTAAAATGACAAACCAATCTGTCTTGGAAGAAGTACAGCCAGAATGCTCCTTGGAGGCAAGGAGGCAAGACGCAGTCTTACATACTTTGAGCACATTGCCAGGAGAGGCCAGTCCCTTGAGAAGGACATCATGGTTAGTAAAGTGCAGGGCCAGAGAAATAGAGGAAGGTCCTTGGTGAGCTGGATTGAGACAGGTGCTGCCAATGAGGGCTGTCAGAGGGACACTTGTGAGGACACCACAGGACTCTAGTGGGAGAACAGTCCCCGCTGCCTCCTGCTCTGGCTCCCATGTGAGTGCAGTCACCACACCAGCCCCTGTGTGTCCTCCCCACTCTCCTGACGCCTTCATGCTCCCAAACACAGCTGCACCAAGAGACTCTTCAAGGTCACTGTTTGAGTGTACCTGCAGCTGCCCAAATCAGTGCTTCTTGCAGAGGAGAGGGGAGTCTCGTGCAACCCCTAGTTCACAATCCTTCCCTAGGTTGCTTCCCTCACTTTTATTATCACTGTAAGCTATTTCCGTCCTGGACCACAGTTCAATGTGCTCTTCCTGTCCCTGAAGGTGAGACCAGAGTCAGCCCAGACAGACCTTAATTCCATTGAGCTAAGTCAAGCCTGTGCTGAGCTGCCCTGTGGACTCCACATGCCTTGTGGCTCTGAGCTTTGAAGGAAAGAGAGTGGCCCGCTGTCTGAGCACCTTCACAGCCCTTGGACAACTCTGGACATGTGGCAGGTGCTCAGCCACAGTGTCATTAGCCAGCTCGCAGGGCTGTGGAGGCCATTCGGGGTACCCGGCAGTTACTATCGTGAGCCGTGGAATTGTGTGACAGAGATGCTTGCTGACTGGTTACTTTTATGAATCAGCACCAGCTCTTTAGAAAAATAATGCGCTCACTTAGGAAAAGCAGATATAGCCTGGGATATAGCTCATTTGAAAATGAAGAGGGCTGAGATATGCATTTATTGGTGGAGGCGAAGCACATTGATTCAGCATGGGGGTACTTCAGTGTGATGTGACCAGAAGGACAACTGCAGTCACTGTGACCTTCTCAAACCCACAGCCTCTGTCATCATGAGCAAAGAAGTGGACCAATCCCAATCCAGGCACATCGTATAAATCACTGGCTCCTTCTCCTCCAAACCGCCAAGGTCACCAAGGTCAAGGAGAGTCTGGGCCACTGTCACAGCTGAGAGGAGCCTGAGCCCAAGGTAGGGCGATCCTGTGTGGGCAGCAAAAGGACTTTCAAGAAATCCGGAGAGAGTGTGGACTTCACCTGATAACTGTGTCAATACTGGTCCATCCCTTGTGACAAATGTACCACTTCACTGTCAGATCTTTCCAGCAGCAGTCCTGGGTAGGGATGCATGGGAGGTCTCTGCACTATCTTCTCAACTTCTCTAAATTTACAAACCCACTACTCATCTGCCATTGGGTTGGCTCTGACTCACAGTGACCCTGTAGGACAGAAAGAGGCTTCACAGAATTTTTGAAACTGTGACTCTTTACTGCTGACAGGGATGGCCTCATCTTTCTCCCTTGAAGCAACTGGTAGGCTCCAACTGCTGACCTTCCAGTTAGCAGCCCAACTCTTTTTTTTAAAAAACAGGGTTATTGGGGCATAATCCACATATCTTACAATTCAATAGTTCAATCATGTCAAGAAGAGTTGTTGTACAATCATTGCTACAATCAATTTTAGATTATTTTCTTCTTTCTTGTAATCCTTTTTATTGGCTCCCCATCTCCCCCAACCTCCCCTGCCACACCCCCAAGAAATCATTAATTTAGTTACTGTCTCTTTAGATTCACCTATCTGAATTTCATATACTGGAAACATACAAAACAACAACAAAGTAACAAGCTAACACCAATAACAGAATAAAACAGGGAAAACCCTCAATGGAAGAGAAAACAGTAAGTGTTAAAAGCTAGAACAATTTAAAATGGGTGAAAAGATGCAACCTTTGTTATACTCCGTTGTCCAGTGCGCTCTGCATGTGGGTGAGGCTTTCAGAGCCCTGGTCCTTGTTCAGGGGGGTCTCAGAGGAGCAGCCCACCTCTTAGTCCCCTCACCTCCAGGGTTCTAAATACTATAGCCACTTCAAACAGAGAGCCACCTTTCCCATGGGGCAGGCTGTACACAGGTTCTCGCCTGACTCCGGGTAAAGACTTGCTCCCCAGGGATCTGTTAGCTTAGCTGCTAGGCCTGCCCCATGGGGCACAGTTTCCCCTCACCTCAGGGGACAGTGGCAGGCTAGGGAGTCCCATCCCCAGCCATGAGCACTGTGCCCTGACCCACTGAGCATAGTCAGCCCGAGACTGGACCCCTCGGGGTCCCTACCTCCAGGTGGGGTAATTGCTCTCAGTGGTGCCCAGGTGGCTCCTGGAAGAGTCAGGGATGGCCAACAGTGGAGAGTCCAGAGCTAACAAAGAGCCACCAGCAGCAAGTCACAGGTGGCAGATCTAGGCTGCCTGCCCCCTTCCCACCGAGGAAGGTGTTTGAACTCTTCATGGAAAGGTGGCATCGTGTTCAGACTGACGGGGCTGGGATAACACCCCCGGCTGGCATTTTTCGTCTAGCTGCCCTAAGTCTGCTTTCAGTATTTCTGAAAAGACTGGCTTGTTTTGTGTGACCTAAGCTTTTGTGGGAAGAACGCCCCTGAAAGTGCTGGGCTCCTGGCTTTTGTGATTTCAGCTTGCAGCTGATGCGCTGGCACTCTCCACACGCCTGCTGAGTGTCCGACCTGGCTGTGCAGTTGACTCCCTGGTAAGAGGGCGGCAGGAGGGGGGCAAGCGCCAAAGCAGGTCGCAGTCTCTACTGAGGGTGGGAGGTCACTGACTCAGCAGGGACCTGCATCTGGTCTCTGTGAACCTGGTGCAGGAGGTTGGCCGTGCCAGGCAGCAGGGCTCCCAGGTGGGTGGACCTTAGTCCCAGGGATCTAGAGGAGGTGCCTTGGCACTCAGAAGGTCTTTGTGGTTCCTGGCTGGGGCCCGGCAGGGACCTTCAGCAGCAGAGCTCTCCTGCTTCAAGGCTCTCTTCTGCTGCCCTGAGGGTCGCGATGGCCCAGAGAAGGGCCAGGGGATTATGCACCAGCAGTCCAGCTGGCCAGGAAGGCCAGAGTTTTTCCTCTCCTCTGAACTGCTCTGTGTCGGAGGCATGTTTTTACTCACCACATTGGCACCCGGTGGACACTGTGCCCCGGGCACCACAACTTGCCCTGCAAGCACCCAGGGGGAGGTCCTGCAATGACTACAGGGGTCACTTGGTGCTGGTGGATCTTGCAGCCTGTGTTTGTTGCTGGGAATAGACCTGCTGACCACAAGGGGGTAGACAAGGCTAGGTAGGGTCACCTGGGAGGGTCCGGAGTGAGGACACAGGAACACACTGGTACCTAAGCTGCATGCTTTCTGAGCCAAGCTGCCAACAAGCCCTGGTGGGTGTGAGCAGGGCCACCTCCCAGGGCCCTATCCCTGCTGTGTTTTTGTACACCCCCCAGGGACCCTGAGCTGCTCATCCAAATGGCAGCAGCTAACCAGACGGCTGTGCTGGAGTTCAGCCTGCAAGGCTTCTCAGAAGACCCTCAGCTCCGGGGCCTGCTCTCCACCCTTTTCCTCCTCCTGTACCTGGTCGCCCTGGTGGGAAACAGCCTCATTGTGGCAGCTGTCAGCCTGAGCTCAGGCCTGCACACTCCCATGTACTTCTTCCTGGTCAACCTGGCCATTCTGGACATCGCCTGCACCTCCACTGTGCTCCCCAAACTGCTGCAGGGCCTGGTGGCTCCAGCCAACACCATCTCCTATCGTGGCTGCCTGGCCCAGCTGTTCTTCCTGACCTGGTTCCTGGGGGCTGAGCTGCTCCTGCTCACAGCCATGGCTTTTGACCGCTACATGGCCATCTGTCGGCCGCTGCACTACGGCACCATGATGAGCTGGCCTCTTTGTACATTACTGGCTATGACAGTGTGGATGGTCAGTGCCATCAGCACTTCCGTGCACACAGGCCTCATGGCCAGGCTGACCTTCTGTGGCCCCAACCTCATCCAGCACTTCCTGTGTGAGATCCCCACACTGCTGCTGCTGTCCTGCAGCCCCACAGCCCTCAACAGTGTCATGATCGTCATCGCGGACGTCTACTTCGGTGTGGTCAACTTCCTGCTCACCCTGGCTTCCTACGGCTGCATCGTGGCCAGCGTGCTGCGCATCCGCTCGGCCGCGGGCAAGCGCCGTGCCTTCTCCACCTGCTCCTCGCACCTGCTGGTGGTCATCCTGTATTACTCCGCCGTCATCTACACCTACTTCCTCCCGGGCTCTGGCACATCCATGGAGAACGGCAAGGTGGTGGCCGTGCTGTATACTGCCGTCAGCCCTGCTCTGAACCCCCTCATCTACACACTGCGTAACAAGGACGTGAAAGCCGCCCTCTGGAAGGTGGTCCCCTCTTCCAAGTGAGAGCTGTCTCACTGTGGATTCGGTTCATTTCAAAATATGACTTTGAGAGTCAGATGTGAGCAAGGAGCAAGATGGTAACCAGTGGGATAGTTTGATAACGAGGAGCCTCCTCCCTGGGTGCAGTCCACCATTCTACCTGGAATTACCAAATCTTGGGCCCCAGATGGCATCCCAGGCTGCCAGGAGTGAGGGTGAAGGGCACCCAACAGCATGTTGTATGTAGGAGTGGTGGTGGCAATGCCACTTCTTTCAGGGGGTGTCTGGGTTTGGGCAGCAGGACCCTGAAAATCATTGCCTGGTGTGCTCCAACATGTGGGCCTCTCTGTGTCCTGCAGTGTAGATTTCCCCCAGACTTGGCTGGGTCTCCAACTCAGCTCCCATGGTGTGTGGCCGGGAAACACAGGAGCAGTGTCCCGTCACCACATCCAAGCGTTCCTAGTCCTGGTGTTGGTGTTGCTCATGGCCTCAGCCCATTTCTCTTCTGACCTCACAGTAACTCCATCTGTGCCTAGCTGCATTCATCATTAATATTTGCCCATGATATGCAAATTTACTAGTCCAAACCTCACTTCTGAGCCCTGGGCCCTGTGATACAGCTTCCAGCTAGGGAGCCTTAGAAACCTTCCAGGGATTCCCTTAGCAGGTCTGAAAATATGACCTGCAGTTACCGGAAAATCTCCGATAGGCTTTCCAAGCCTCTGTGTCCAAACCATCTTCAGACCCTGTTATTAAACCTGATCATCTCCACGTTCAATGTGTCTTCCATCTTTAACCCCCACCCAAGATGCCATAGTATTCCTATCTTATTCTTGACCACCAAAATTGGTTTTACCCTGTGTCCAGAATTTTCACATCCCATTATTCAAGGTTTTAAAAAGTGCAATATTACACTGTCTATACAAAGCTGAAGGGCTTACAGTGAACATCCATGCACCCATTCCCTACATGCTTCCATGAACTTACTACGCCAGTCTTCCTATTCATCCAGCACCCAGCCATTCAGCTAGTCATCTTACAGTCTTTTCAACATTTCAAAGCAAGTTTCAGAGATCAGCACACTTCATAAACAGCATGCAGAATGTTGACTAAAATTCATCATTTGTTAACAGTGTTTTTTCCCTCTTGAGGTAGAATTTTCAAACCAGGAAATACATAAATAAGGTTGTACATTTGCTAGGCTTTGCTGAATGCTTTCAGCTGTAACTCAAGCCTCTAGCAAGATACAGAACATGACAATTATCCTATAAGGTTCCTTCCTGCCTCTTCCTAGTTACCGGCCCCACCACCTCCCAAGGACGGCAGTCTTCTGATGGGCTCCACCCAACGTCAGTTCTGCACATGATAAAACCTCATATGAATGAAGTCACATAGGAACGTATTCTCCCGTGCCTGGCACGTCTGCTTTCACTTTGCACACTATTTTTGAGATTTGCTCATGTTACATGTATCCATAGTCTGTTTCTTTTTATTTTTGATTAATGTTCCATTTATGCCTGTACCACAAGTTTTATCTGTTGATGGACATTGATGGCATTGTTTTAAACTTTTGGACATTGCAAAGAAAGCAGTTTTCTTTCTTTCTTTGTTGTTTTATTTTCTCTGTTTGCTTGATTTTATTTTATATAGTATTTTTAAAGAGAATGTCTAATTTATTGAATCCTTTCATAAAGGTATATTTTAGACCTCTCAATGTTAAATACTCTTTAATCACAATTTACATTTTATTTCCAAAGTGATCACAGATCAGTCATTAAAAATAAAATATAATTTAAGAAAAAAAATTCTAATAACCTACCAGCTAAAACAGCTTTTGATTATCCAAGGTATTGTGACACGATTACATAAGATAGCTCGAAATTTAATCTAGAGCCAGTGTTGGCTGATGCCCTAGCCACAAAATTTGATGTTGCTCCAAAAAAGACATCTTTTTCTTGACGAAACACTGCAAGGTCCTTTTTCTGGAGTTCTGCATCACCAGCATTTCACAGCAGATAAGCAGACCTCTTGGTCGGCTGCTTCTTAGTTAGGCTTGTCCAACAATCAGGTCTCCTTCAGCTCAAGGGATAGACAGCGACCTCTCACTAAGCTATCAGATTTAAACAAGAACTTTCCACAAAACACTTTCCCTGATGCTTTGGACTTTTCTTTTGCATCTTGGCATCTCCACACAATAGCTCTGAGGTTACACTGCCACAGTTCCTGCAATTAAACACCGAACTACCAAGTCCAGGTGTAACAGTGATTTCATCTTTAAATAGTTATATTGACACAACTCATATGCCATACAATTCAGTGGTTTGAATGTATTAAGGAAAGTGGTGCAATCGTCACCATAATCAATTTTAGAACTTTTTTTTCATGTTTTATACTGTTATTAGTTTCCCACTTTGGAAGCTATCGTGGTAGTTACTGTCGTTATCAATTTCTCTCTCTCTCGCCTAGATTTCATATGAAGAAAATAATACCCCATAACCACCCCCAGCAATAATAACAAAAGAAAGCAAAGAAAATCCTCCCAAAAAGAAAGCAGAAAATAAAAACCAGAACAGAGTTAAAAGGGTCAAAAGGGTAAACAAATGATAAGAGGTTAAATTTAACCTAAAACATCTGCATTAATTTACTTTCTGACGTACTTGTCTGAAGACATAGCTTGATCAATAGTCTGAAGGAATTCGATGGAATCTTAATCCCTGTGGGGAGTCTACAGATGGATTTTGGGCTTTCACTGTCATCTATATCCTTCTGCAAACCGGGTGGTCAGAATTTGAGCTCTAATGCAATCACCTCTTCTGACGTTGGATTTTATTATTTACAATCCTTAAATCATACAGAGTGGTGTGCTTCTTCTGTATGCGCTTAGCTGGCACCTCATTTAGATGGCTGCTTGTTTTAAGACAAGAATAAAGCTACTTTTAGCATTTGTCCATCTCATGTCTGCCAGTTTGCTGTATTGTGGTAACATGCTGTGTGATGCTGAAAGAGATTCGTTTGTGTCCATTCCAAAGAAAGGTAACCCAATAGAATACAAAACTATCAAAACAATACTATTATTATCACATGCAATTAAAACTTTGCTGAAAATAATCCAAAAACAGTTTATGCAGTATATTGACAAAGAATAACCAGAAAAATTTTCAGGACCAAGTTTACTCATTGCAAATATAATTTTTTTCCAACAACATAAATAGTGACTACACATAAACAGTACTGACTAGAACATGCAGGAATCCAATTGACTGCACCTGTGGGAAGAGATCATAGGAAAACTCCATATCATCAGCTGGAACAAGACCGGGGCTGACTGCAGCACCAAACCAACCAACAACAGCCCCCCTCCAAAAAAAAGCCACACCAAACTCACTGCATTGAGTTGATTACGATTCGTAGCAACCCCATTGGACAGGGTAGAACTTCCCCTGCGGGTTCTGGGATGATAACTTTTTACAGAAGTAGAAAGCCTCATCTTTCTCCCTTGGAGCTGCTGGTGGTTTCAGCTGCTGACCTTGTGGTAACCACCACACCACCGGACTTCCGTACAGACCATCAATTACTCATAGGTAAGTTCAAGTTGAAGCTGAAGAAAATTAAAACAAGCACACAAGAGTCAAAACAATGTTCTAGGGTATATCTCCCCTGAATTTAGAGACCATCTCAAATGTAGATTTGGTGCATGGAAGACCGATGATGGAAGACCAGATGAGTTGTGGGATGACATTAAGAAGCATCCTACACAAAGGAAGCAAACTGCCATTAAAAGGACAGGAAAGAAAGAAAAGAACAAAGTAGATTTTAGAAGACACCCTTAATCCTGTTCTTGCATGTAGGACAGCTAAAACTCATTGCTGTCAAGTCGATGCTGACCCATAGCAACCCCATAGGATAGGATTGACCTGCCTTTGTGAGTCTCTGAGATGGTTTATGGAAGTAGAAAGCCCTATCTTTCTCCCTTGGAGCTGGCTGGTGGTTTTGAACTGATGACTTGTGGTTAGCAGTCCAATGTGTAACCACTACAGCACCAGGGCTCTCTAGAGCAGCTAAACTACTGGAAAAATGATGCTATAGAAGAGAGACAAGATGATTTCAAAGGGTCGTTCAAGCAGACAAAGCATCATAATGAAATATGCAAAGGCTTGGAGTTAGGATACTTGGGCAATTCTAAAGCTTAAAGAACTGAAGAAAAAAATTCAAGTTTCAAGGTGCAATATTGAAGAATTCCTCAGACAAAATATTAAGTGAATCAGGAAGCATCAAAACAGGATGGAAGAAACAGGAAGGAATGCACAGTCACTGTACCAGAAAAACCTGGTCAATGTTCAACCATTTCAGGAGGCAGCATATGAGCAAGAAGGATGAAGTCCCAACAGTACTGAAGGTACTGGTGAAAAATGAGGCTCTAGGAATGGGTGGAAGGAGTTTGGGTGGTATAGTGATTACATGTTTTGATGCTAGCCACAAGGTCAGCAGTTCAAAGCCACCAGCCACCCTGTGGGTGAAAGAAAAGGCTTTCTATTCCTTAAAGAGTTGCAGTCTGGGAAACCCACAGGGACAGTTCTACCCTGCCCTAAAGGGTTGCTACAAGTCAGACTCAACCTGATGGCAGTGAGTTTGGTTCTGAGGAACAGGTGGAATACCAATCGGGAAAAACAAAACACCGCCGATGCAGCACTAGAAGCACTCACTAGAGTATGGCCAACCAACTGGAAGAGATCCATGTTTGTGCCCATTCCAAAGGAAGGTAACCCACAGAATGCAGATATTGTCAGACAATGCCATTATTATCACATGCAATTAAAACTTGGCTTAAAATAATGCGAAGACACTTTCAGTAATATATTGAGAAAGAACTGTCAGAAATTAAAACTGGATTCAGAAGAGGACATGGAATGAGAAATATCATGACTAATATCAGATGAATCTTGGTTAAAAACGGAGAATAGCAGAAATATGTTCACTATGTTTTATTGACTATGCAAAGGCTTAACAAACTGTGGATAATTTTA